CTCGTGGATGGCGTCAAAAAATTGCATCCCACCTCGGATCCAACTATTTTTGTGGCTGAACTCTACGACGCGCAGAAGGTGTGAATACATTGTCGGTTCAAAAATATGGAGTCAATGGTGTGCTTATTGCATGATTAGGTGTTGCCTAGCCATACGGACCTTGATTCCAATATATAGACTGACGTCGGGTTATTTATTTGACTCTAAAATATAGGCATTAATTTGTTTTCTGTAGGAACTGGAGGAAATTTGCAATCCGATAATTTTGAAGCCAAAGCCGGCTCCTCCTCCACCACCATCGAAGCCTGCAGAGGAGAGTGGTTCCAAGCCCGCTGAAGGAGCCAAGGAAGACGGGAAGGAATGTTCAGCATCCCCTGAGTCCGACAAACTTACTAGTGTTCCCAACGGTGGTGAGGCACCTCTTGGTGATATGGAAGTAGAGTAGACCTCTGCGTCTGTATCACATCGAATGTATTCCATCACCAAAGTATTGCCGCCACTACGGTTGCTGATTCTTGTTTTCAAGCATTGCACTCGTCTGATGCTACGTGAAGAAAACAGTTTAGTACCCGTTCTCATCCATGATATTTCCTTCGGTAATACTTTTTATTGTTGCCAATGTGTGTGCGCACTCGATGTTGTTGGAACCACTGAGGTTGTTTCTGTGGCTACTTCCTACCATTTGGGTTGGGTGAGACGCTATTAAATGGCAACATGTGTTTGTGTGCTCGTTGTGGTGGCAGTTTTGTCTTCTGCCTAATCCTGTTCTGTGACAGGTGAAGGTGGACCAAGTAGTGGGGTAACGTTGGCGCACTCGCGATGGCGGTGTGCTGTGTACGTCTACACCCTGCCAAGATGCAGGCGGACGGGTCAATGGTGGTGCAATTGGGCTTCCTGCCGTTGGGTATCAGACTGCACTTTCACACCAATGAGTGTTGCTTAAATGTGTGTTCCCCATTCTCAACTTAAAGCGCGTTTTTGCTTGCATTCGAGTCGTGGTATTTAGTAGATCCATGTTTTGTAATTTTCTGTTTTGCCTAGAGCAGTTGTTTGCAGGCTGGCTTTTAGGTTGGTTTGCATTAACACTTGTTGGGAATTACATTCACGCTTTTGTTTTTAATAGTGTGAACTTATTTTGTATTCTAATGTTCAAACATATTCTATCCAAATGATGGATTTTTGGTCAGTAGAAAATTGAAATAGAAGCTGATCAAACGACAAATTGCAGGTATTTCGTGATTTCTAAGCCGGCCTATGGATCGAGAAGTCGGAGAAGTAGGTGACATTCGATAGCCTCGTCGGTGTTCTGAGCGTTCTTGCTGCTTCTCTGGGTGGTTAGTACTTCGGACGCTGCTGTCGGTGGGATTTCCTCTTCGTTTAATTTGTGCGGTCCATCATCGTCTTTAATCGCCACCAATCCTGAATCAAAAAGTGTTGTTGGTGGCGGGCCTCTGCTCAGGCAATGCTTATTGTGCATTCCAAAGGTGCAAAATAATTCTCCGTCTTTGTGAGATTTGGCACGACAGAAGTAAGTGATTACTACTGAACGCAACAGGTCAAAGATGTGGTGGTGATAGTGCTTAATTTTAGTAACTTTTTTTCTACACAACCTTAAAAGGTCATTTTAGACCAGCGACGCGTTACCTCTTGGATTGCTGAAATTGATGTATCTATTTCCCTAGGGCAATAATTTCGTGGACTTAAAGTGCATGAGTTTAAAAGTTCCTTAGGTTAGCACAACCCCTGAGGAGTGAATTCCAAAGATAGCTGCTGCATTGGGAGCACGCGGGGTTCGGTTTGAATGGATACAACTCCCAAAAGTTCAATAGGCACACCGTTCGGATTAAATTTACAAAACACTAGTAAAGAATGCGTGATTGACAAACTCAATTTATGCAGCTCAAAAATTTCCAGAGTTCTGTGTGCTTGATACACCCATATTTCGCGCCGAGTCAGTCCTAGAAACTTAGTAAGACGCAGTAGGCGATAAAAAAGTAGCTTGTGGTTCTCGATTTAGCTCGATGTCCCTCACTAGATGTAACGCGTAGGTGCTTGTACAGACATTGGCATGCGTTGGTCTACTTGCAATCCTTTCATCTACTCCTCTCATGTCTCCAAGCCTCACTTTTACCAAACACCTATTTCACCTGAATGTAGGATATTTTTTTGCTTTTCTGCTTTGCATACCGACGTAGGTGGCAGAAGCTACCTTACCTTCCTACCTGCCTAGCTTCTTGTGCCATCTGATCTATTATGCAGAATTTGAAGGAGCTGGTGCATGCTATGCGGGAGACAAATTCAAAGGTCACATGGTTGTTAATTAAAGCAATCGGTAGAATTTAGTCGCACATCATCATCTTGGTGATAAATGCGCTGCGTCATGTCTTTAGATTTTCGATAATAGTTTGAAACAACGTCGCGTATCACCTGGCGTAAGAGGGAGGGGACAGTATGCAGTCAGTCATATTTGACTTTGTTAGTGGTGGTAGTGGTGAAACAATTGGTTTACACCTGCGTATATATTCACACCTACCTCCAAATCTACGTACGCATTCACACCTAGTAAACTGAGAAAAAAGTGTCGCAGTGGAGGCTAAGAAGGCAGATATGTGGGTTCCATCCCTCTCTCCTACACTGAGAGATGAAGGACAATAAAAAACTTGGAAGACTAACGCGTCATCGTTCATAAACTCATGTTTTCACGCGATCATAACAATGCACCGATGTTGGAGTTTTGCAGGTGTCTGTATGGATAGATGACCTATGGTGAGAAGGGACTTTTGCGCTTTTAAACTGCATTTCAGCATTAAGCAAACCAACTTACTACTTGCTGACATAACCCCGAATAACTTACTTATTCACTACCCACCGCCCACCCCACACTGCTAGTCCGCTCCCCACGGCATCTCCACAAATCCGTCCTCACGCCTTCCATCTATCCATCCACTCTACACGATAGGATATGATATCTATTTCTACAGAAGTCGCTATTTGGGCTAGTGAATTGGTTGGAAGAATGCTATATTTTTTATGCTCATCTTTTTCGTACAAAACAACTCAGCCTAAGAGCGCTAACCGAGCATTAGGATTAGAGGAAAAGACGGAGATGGTGCCTCTTCCTCATCCCTGTCCTTCGTATTCGCTAAAATCATTTTCTTCCCAGCTCAGTGTGTGTATCGCCTAACCTTGGTCACGAGAAAAAAAGGCTGAAGTTTTGGGACCTGGCAGTGGGGGGGACACAAAGATGGCTGGGCTGTATTTAGTGCCTGGCTTTTAGAATCTAGGTGTCATTTTAATTAGCAGAAATTGTTGCAGACTTGGGCCTTTTTGAGAGAAAATTTGTACCCACTCTGCAGTTAGTACTACTGTGGGAGTCATTTGTGTTTAAAGAACTTATTAGGCGAATGAATTAAAAGTAGAAATCGGTTGCTTGAATAAATGAAAATCTAGCCATGATAGATTAAAAATTAAAAACATACATTTTACTAAAAAAAAAAAATTTCGCCGATGTTATTGATCAACCAGAATCAATCAATTGCATCAGTTCTTGGTAAGACAAAAAACACTTCCTACCATTTATCTACTGAAAGAGCATCTCAATATGTGGAATTTACGATTTAAGATCTCATTTGTTCAATAAAGAAGCACTAATGAAACCCAATCACGAGTTTCTCTAGTTTTTATTGCACATTTGGACTGATTTTTAAGAATCAGTTTAAAATAAAGGGTGTTATTAAACCGCTGATGCTATAGTCGGGATTTTAACTGTGGTAGACGAACCCAGTACTCAGAAAACGTTGCAATCAGTCCGTCCCATTGATGACCTTGAAAGGCATGGCAACCACTTTGCATATCTATGTAATGTACTTAGACCTTGGTTCAAACCATTGGCACAAAGTCACAAATGCTTGCAAAACTGTGGAAAATACAATGTTTGCTATAAATCACCCCCATGAGATTGTAAAAGGCGCCCTACATTAGAATAATCTGAGAAGCACTGATGGACTGGAGACACCAGTTATTCTAGTTTAGTCAAGAATAATTAAGTAACCTGATTTTGACACTCTTAGTTTGGGGGTTGAGTTGAGGACACGGAATAGTCAGTGATATCAAGATGTGGTAGTCAAACCACAGCAGATTAACATTTGTTTCATTTTTCATCCGTCTACCCCAATCTTTAAGGCTTTGTGTCTTAAACTTCCTCCTTGTACACACGACTGGAAGGCTATGCCTATAACCTCTCGGCTTTTCTATGGATAGAAGTGCTACATTGGTGACAAACTGACAAGGATGCCGAAATCGACTTCGGGTACCAAATGTATGGTTACTCTGCGAAGACGCCTATCAGGAGAACTGAAAAGGCAACCTCTGCATTGGGGCGATTACCCCTGTAAGATACCTGTATCCCTAGTTTAATTACGCGAACAAGCGGTAATTTTACCATCCCTCCACCAGACGACCGGATTCCATTTGGACAGCTGGCAAGCATTGAAATACGAACAAAGTTGCAAGGAAGAGAAATGCTTGAAATGTCCTTGTTGTGAAACAATGCCCAGCCTTGAGCTGTACAATATTGGAGCTTCCTCCAGCATAGTTTACATGGGTGTAAAAACCGTGGACCTATCGAATTCAACAGTAGAATAAATGCCTTCTCATTTTAATGGAACATCAATGCATGCTTTTCATTTCTGGCTCGGTGGTGATGACCGAATCCGAAGACAAACCAAGAGGAGACCCGAAGACTGATTCTTTAGTCTCCGTGGGTAGAACTGCACCCTCCCGAAATCAGTAGTAAATAATCATCCTCCCCTTGGTAATATAATGAGTGTTCAGATAAAACCACGACTTCTATTTTCCATCCTCTATAGAGGGTATTGTCATGCCTTGGGAATGTTTTCAATCCAAAAGAAAAACTCTCCCAATCTGATGTTTTAGAATTTTCTTTGCACCCTACTCTCCTTCTGCTTCTCCCGATTGATCTACATTAACACGTGTGTCTTAAGGTCATTAAGAAAGGACACATAGGGGAGGGTTGGAACCTTCTGGGTACATGGGTACATTAAGGATACATGCACACTGTACTTCAAATTGCGGTGTTAAGGCTGGCAAGGATTGCTTTTCCGACCCAAAGGACTGAGAATGTGAAGCAAATCAATTTTATTCGGCCATATTGAATGAAGCTGTCGAATTGCAGCAATGAGGACTTCGTACAATATCCAGGTATATTCAGTCGTCAATGTGAACGCCTTGAAATGAAGAAAATGACTGATGGCCAGTTCAAATATCTTCACCTGCGGATTATATTCTGCCTACGATCAAACCTCGACGCTATGGGATGCCATAAATTAATTTTAATGTATAATTGAACTCAAGCCATGCAGTAATGTAACTCATCTGGTCTTCAGAGAATTGCCTCCTTTAATGCTGGCTTCCATCCCGGTGCTAATACCAAGAATACTCCAATTTTCCCCTACTAGCAATCCGGAACCTGGCACCTTGTCTTGTTCTGAACTGGCTGGCTGCATCGTCAGCCATGAGGATAAGCTGTTTCGGTCCCTCTCATCCAACTCCAGGGTGAGTTTTCGGGATGAAAATCTGACAAAGTGAAATACCAATTCTTACAGCTTGATTCAATGGCTATTCAACTCAACACATCGGTACAACATCACTGTCATCGTAAAGAAGCTATGGCACCTTCTGGGCGAACTACTTCAACCACCCCCAGTGGCCAAATGAAACCCCTTGGCTAGCTACATTGCTGTATGCTCCCGTACCGCGTGTTAAACTACAACCACTCTCCTCAGCCCATTTGGCCTCAACTGTCCTCAAGGGTTGGGTCTAGACAAGATACCACCTAATACCGTCCGTAATCAGGCTTGAGCAACTGGAGTACTCATTGAACACTCGGTAACGATCGTCAGAAAGGTTGCCTCTATTTCCCAATTTGACCATGTCGTCCGAAAATGTCCCCTTCTGATACCTTGACCTCAACCAGAGCAACGGTAATCACTAATTTTATTCGATTTTAACTTACTAATCAATGGCATTTCTCTCCCATTTCTAGTGGTTGTCTTGTCAAAGCAGGTGAAGAGGGTATCTGTGATCCCTCCTACAGCTGAAAAGGCGCCACAAGTGCTGCACCGCATCGTCTGCAAACGCGGGCTCCCAGAAACACCACACGTTAATAATGCAGCAAGATTTTTTTCTGTAGAGTTCCGTAACTTGCTGTCAACATGCCATTACTAAAGTTTTCCGCCAATCATGTCAACCACCTTCAATCCTTTGGGCAGGTGAAGCGATTTCTCCACATTCCGAAGTCACAAAGAGAGAAGCGGTTGCCTGGGGCAATCTCAGATCAGCAGTGGAGACATTAATGGACCACCGGATCAACGCACCGATTCTTACAAGACGACAAAACTGCTACATCGCTGATTTAATCTCCTCCATACCAGGAAAGGTCGCATCAAACAGTCAGGATTCGGAGGAGGGATGAGAATCAATTTTGCTTGAGACACGAAGAGGAACCTGGAGTTCAGCCTAATACCCTGTCATTTACTTCCAGGCAAAACGGGCTCCATATTGACCTGTCCTGCCTACCAGGACAACGCTCTGGTAGGCAGAGATGCAGGCCAAAGCAATTTTCGAGTTGACCTTGAGGAATCGTGACACTAATACGTTTTTCTACGAGAGGTAGGAAGTCCTTGGATCATTTACAGCTCCAAAAAAACTCTCCTATTTTAGTGTTCTAAAAGCTTCCATTCAATTCCTCTTGAGTTTCTATGCTCGAACATTCTGGAAGCTCTTTACAGTTCGTGCTTCCTTTTACTTCGAGTTCATTTCAAAAGGGATTTGGGGGAGCCAATTCTCTCCGTATTCTCAATTACTCGGAACCACAGGGCCTCAATAGATAGTGTTTACTCCTAACTGAGGTCTTAATACCGCCATTTTCTGAAGCCTTCACCTTATTTTTTTTTTCTAGTAAGAAAAGTCACAAATATCTGCGCATACATTGACAGCCTATAACTACATGGCGGTATTGGATTACACATGGAATCGAGTGGAGTGGTAAGTCTATGTCGTCAGGCCTCTAATAGATGGCACACTTTATAGGGCAGCCCTTTCACAATTAATCAAAGCGTTGACAGTACCAGTAGGGCGCAGCCTTCTAGACGTTTCTACCAAATGTCGTTCTAGAAGTTCCTACCAAATTTATTTCCACTCCATATTTCCGAGCATTGCAGAACCATCTGCAGTTTGTGTTCACATTGAAGTTCTTCTAATTGAAGGATATTGCTTAAGGGTGTGTAATTTGCGTTGAGCTAATACTCTCGGAGCCCCGGAGGCGCAAATCGCTTTTCAGTTTGTGCGCACTGTCTTCCAAGTGGCAGTAAAGAGCCTCACTATGCAGTCCTGCTCTCGGGTTCTCCACTTGGAGTCGCTACTGGATAGCAGCAAACATTACCCTCCCCCCCTCCCCTCCGCCACGATTCATGGGGCGATGTCTGTCTATTCTCGGGTTTTCTCTCCACTAAGACTCGGTAGGTCCAACTTTCGACAAATGAAAAGCCAGCTAGAGGAAAGTAGGATGCGCAGCAATTTTATTACTCTATTTTGCATTCAAGTGGAGAGATCTAGTGCTCTCTCACTACTCACCCACACACTCACACTCTTTCTCCTCCCAACATACACACATACACACAATATGCATGTGAATGAGCTGGTGCGTAATCGACACTGTCGTTGTTTGCAAGGCCAGTCGTGGAGGAATGAGAGTTAAGTTACAAAAGCGAGAAGAGTAGTGGTTCTGCCTTGTGGGTTGAAGAGAAAGCAAAATTAATCTCTCTTTTGCCGAAGGTCTTTCTCTACGAAAACAGAGGGAGAACAAAAAAATAAAGGAGAGAATATGTACACCCACGTTTATAAGAAGGAAGAGGGAATAAGAGGTTACTATGAGGAACTGGGAGAGACATACTCTTCTTGTAGCTCTGGTTGTATCTGTGTTTGTCGTTGCTGTTAGTATTATGCAGTAAGGTCTTAAGTGGTCCACGGAAGAGGATATCACGTGATTGGGGGGGGGGAGGAAGGGAAGAGGAGGGAAGAGAGAGGGAAAGAAGTAATCCTAGCTTTTGCCACGAGGTTGGCGATTTTTCGAGGCGTGTCGCTTGCCGGAAGAGGAAGTCTGTGATGTTCCACCAGAGGTGGTGGTGGTGGCGGTGGAAGTACCTCCGAAGCTTGTGTGACGGCGCACCTGTTTATGATGCTGTGCGGTTGCAGCTATCATGCCGAAGAGCTTGTACCATCCAAACACGATGGAACGGAGGTTAAGATCGTCTAGCACTATCTCGCACATGCCCAGGAACACCTTCTTATCCATTCTACCGTATTCACCCCAAACACTGACCTATAACCAAAAAACAAACATTTGATTCAAAAAGTGGCTCGAACCTGCACATGTGCATTACTTCAAACTACACCTCTCACGTAGTCAACTTGAAGACACGGAAGAGATTCTTAATGCGAGGCTGTGATTACGTACCCTCTTAGAATGCATTTAATTGGAAGCGTGGAGCTGCCATCCTTCAGTGAACACGAAGCTCTACCTTGCATTCCCAGTGCATAAAATGTCACTCAACTTCACCCAGCTTCATCCATTCATTCGAGGCAACAATAGAAGGTAGTCAACTACATTTCTGCTTCCATAATATCCACAAAATGAGAGTGGGGCAGTATCTTCAGCCTTCTTTGCAAATCTTTTCCCGGTGTAAGTTTTACGATGGCAAGAGGTGTGAAATCTCCCACTCGCCGACAGTCTCTCGAGATCTATCACTCAGTGGTGCAGTCCCATCCCCTCCCAGGTATGGGTCAGAGACCTGTGACAAGGTGTGGGGAGAGTCATTGATGGCTAGCCCACTATGTAGCACTTCAAATGACAAAAAACTGCTGCAGGGACATTCAGCGCCTGGTTGAACATCACCTGACTAAAACCACCTCCCTCGCTTCACCTTCCTTAGCTATAAATGCTAATTGTGCCAGTCAAAGCACGAATAATTAAGATTTCTTGCCTGGAGGCTGTTGGATTGTGAATGTTGCAATCTCGTTCCATTAAATGTGATTGATAGAAGTTTCCCTGCATCCAGTTTTTGCACCTTCTTTTCCCTGAGACAAAGACATGAATAGGAGCTCTCAATAGCAGACGCTTCTAACTGACCACTGTCGTTCAAATCATATCGAGACTTCTAGTTCAGGATAACAGTTTATCACGCTACAACATAATGCGAACAATTTCTTTTTCTCATAAAAGTGTAAGAACTAGCAACTCGCCTGCAGTATTTTGTCCTTGTAGGAGTTGGAGAATGAGAATTGTTGTTGGAAGAGTGGATCGAGGGTGCGCCGTGCGGGCGCGGTTGTTCGCATCTTCTCGACAGACTGTTTGCCTTCCAGCAGGTGAAGCTTCACATAGGGCGTTGGCAAGGGTTTTGAAGTGTTCTTCTGCTGTAGCCCTCGGGCCCGTATCACCTCTACTTCGAGGTGACCTTTTCGATCGAAGAAGGATAGCTGGATCTCGCCCAGACACGGCATCCCTAGCACCTGGCGCCCCACCAGCTGACCTGGGCCTAGACCCTCCACAAACTCACCTACGTGCACTTCTCCCCTAAAAGGAGGTAAATCAAAGGTAAGCTAACAAAACTGGAACTTCCACTGAAATCCAGTGGTTGGTGCTGTCTAAACGGCACACCTCTACAGCATTCAAAGAAGGGACGTTTTGGACACCATTAACCGATTAAGTAGAACGAAAATGTGTTGGGTTCCAAAGAGCAGATCTGCTCAAATCTACTCCAAATGCGGATCTAATTATAAACAATTTTATAGGAGAAAGAAAGAATCTATTTAAGACTGAACTAACATCTCCAGAGCAAGTTGATCCTTTCTAGCGGCAGTAGCTGCGGCAGAGGAGGAGCAGGAGGAGGAAGAGTGGAGAACACTGGACAGTGTGTGCTGAAGGCCGCTGCCATGATGACCAGCCTGCCCAGTGAACCCACCACCTACAGAGGATTGGACGCTGCTCGCGGCGATGCCACCGAAACCAGCCCCCTCAGCCACCACTCCGGGCGCCTTGTATCCGCCTGACACTGTGCCCTTCTCATTTGTCTGGATGTATGCTGGCAGCACTTCCTCGCTGCGTTGAAATGACGCCTTAGTTTTCTTATCTGTAGATGTACATTCAACAACCAGTCAACTGTTGGTAAACGGTTTCATCAGTTCCCCATTCCATACTGGCCGTAGCCAAATCTTTATACCACTACTGATTGATGCATGAAATGCGTTTACTGTGGAGTATCGTCTCGCCTTGAGGAGTATGAAGACGTAGTGACAATGTAAAAGCGTGACTACAGGAAGTGATGATGACGGCAGTCAAATGCAACATCGAAAAACTTGAAGTCTGGGTGATACGTTCTGCTACCGCACATACAGGCCCTTCTTCACATTCTTCTGCTACTTTGCAGACGCGTTCAGGTCGGTTTGCAAAGTTGATAAGCTCGAATTACATTTTTTCAGGTTCAACCGACATTTTACGATTGGAGTGCCACAAAGAGTACCATATCGGTAGGCCGGACACGACATGACATAAACAGTCGCGAAGTAAGCGCACTATTGGTCACCTGCTAATGACAGGTTCATGTTTGGAAAGAGAATTCAACATGAGTCAAAGAGCGTCGACTATAAACAGTAAGTCAATCATTGGGTGATGCAGGCACACTCATCATTTACCTGTTCCACTTGTAGCCGTATTCTTCTTCGATATCCCCAGCACATTGCTGAACCTGTGACCAATACTGGATCTCCGTTTTCTAGCCGTAGAGGGCGTGGCGGCAGCCGCAGTCGCCTTTGTTGCTCCTGCAGTGGTCATAGTGGTGGTTTCCGTAAAGCCACCGCTGGAGACAGCGACAGTTGAAGCTGCAGCAGCAGTGGATGAAGAAACAGACTTCTCCTCTGTCGATGAAGACTTCGGCTGGTCATCTGGAGGTCTCTCTTCCCTCCCTCGACTCTGCTTGCCTTCATCTTCCATCGCAGCCGCTTCCTCTAATTCTGCCTCTTCCTCCTCACCGGTCTCAGCTAGCAGATCCTGCGATGGTGAATAGCAGTCGGCGCGACTGCGCGAGATCCGACGTGCAGCGGAGCCCAGTTTAGATGCGTTAAGGCGTTGGTGTTGACGCTGGCGTAGACGGTTGGATTGAAGACTAAGTTTGGAGAAGGAGGAGAAACCGGAGGCCTCCGAATTGTCCGAAAGGAAACTCTGGTCGTCTTCGGATAGGCTGAATCTAGGGCCTCTGTAAAATTACGGATGGCATGTTGACAGCAATAAGTCGACCCGACCCAAGTGATCAAAAAATTTCAATTTCCTTGGCGGACTATCACAGAGGAGCAGAACGAAGATGTCTCCTGCGAGTGACTGATTCTACAGATACTTATAAAAGAAGTAATGAAATGACGTCAGATCTTGCGACGTTCCACAGTGATTAGTGTGCTACTCCTAATTGACCAGTGCCGTTTGGAGACATTTACCATAACAATTTCATGAAGATTCGTTAAAGTCAAAGCAAGGGAGCGACCATAGGGAGTGTCGGAAGCGATGTCCAAAGGAAGAAGGAGAGCTATGTAGCAAAAGAGCTTTATTCCAGCTTTATGCTTAGCCACGAAATTCCTCCAGTTTCCAGGGTTTCGGTCGTTCTCTTGTCACCCTTCTGTGAGTTGAAAATGAACATTCTTGCGGATGACTATGCCATTTTACACATTCAAAGGTGATCTAGGACACTATATTGTGGTGTAAGCCTCCCAGACTTTCTCTACGTCCACATTAAACTTGCTCCGGGACTTGTACACCTCATGACCCTTGTAAGGGTAACTCGGTTGATGCTCTGGTGACAGTGGTAGGCGTACCCTCTTCAAAAGAATACTGATTCTATTATGGCCCATCGAGATCCCAACCAGAGTAAACAAGAGATACGACTTCAGAAAATGAGGTCTCCAATGGCGACAACCAGAACGCGGTGTCTACGTTCGCGTCCGCTAGTTGAGTGCTAAGTCATGTGTTGGCCCCATTCTCGAGTATTTTCAGTGTTTTGATTGGCCGTGGCCTTAATGTGCCCATTGGTACACACACAAAGCGCCTCCGACCAATCATGCAGTACTCGTCGAGAGGGCTATGAAGTGTTCTAGAAGGTTCAAGAAAAGGAAATTGACAGAGCGTCTTGAAACTGCGAAATGGAGAGCAAATTCCGATGTCGCGTTAAAACAAAACATCATAAAAGCGCCACTGACAATTTCCACTGTTCGTGCAAAAATGAATCTAGGAGTGACAACGAATTTCGGACAAGTCTGCGGTTGGGCGTTTTGTCAAGAAGACGATTCAAAAGACAGTCAAGAAGCAGGTTTAATATTTAGAAGAAGGGTAATTTAGCGTCGCGGTAAGCATGATGTTTGGCACCCTGGCAGCGAATTACTGAAGGTAACGAATTTAAAGAATCAGTATTCAGGGAAATTTGAAATTTCAAACTTGGAAACACGTTTTACCTGTCGGCCGCATGGGTTTTCGGTGGCCCGGGCTGTGCAGGCCCACGTGACTCACGCCGAGAGGTTCGCTGACCACCGGGTTGCTGGCGCTTTTGGCGGTCAGCAACAGCCGAAGCGGAGGCGGACAGTTGGCTGGGCACTGAGCGTGGACTGATGTTGCGAAGGGCGCGCCGACCTCCGCTACCTCCGCTGACCGGTCGGTGCGACACCTGAGCTGTAACTCGCTCCGAGGCTTCACCGGACCATTCATCTACAATATTGAGAGTGCATTCGTTCAAGCTTTTAAAGTTGCCTTCACTCGTTAACGTTTTTATTCGACCTCCACTGACTTTATGATCACCGGAATTCTAACTACTAAAATTATATAAGTAGGCTGTTAGTGGCAATTTACTCTGCATTTACTGGTTCTCCATAACCTTCAATACACAAGAAACCGCACTTTTCATTCTTCTTAACAAGGATGCATCTAAATAAAGCATTTTTGATTCAAACATGGAGTTTAACATGCCGTGAAAAGTTTTTTTTAGTTCAATACACCGTTAAAAAGTCAGAATTGCACTGACCTGCTTCGAATGTTCCACTCTCAGACTGCACCTGAAACATAAAATAGTGCAATTAGTATACTTAGGTTCTGTTTACCGCAAATAACTTCATGTTTTCTTCCACCTAAGGCCAATTGTTTCGCTATACAATGCTTGACAAACTTCTTTGTTTACTTCGCCGAGAAAGAAAGCTTAAAATTATAGAAGTACCATTTAAAGTTTTGCGTCAAATGGCAAAACAAAACTACAGTCCACTTTGACTTTGTTGGCTGCTTAATTGAACGATCTAATCTTATAGATGGGGCATTTGGTTCCTAGTGAATGGCAGGTATGGACGAACCTGACTCGAAAAATCCTGATTAGTATTATCCCAACCTGGAGGAATGGGATACCAGTAAGCACGACCGGATAGGTCTGCCACCTGAAGATTAATCAGAACCTGGAGAAAGAGGAAAAAATACATTATGTATACCTGGTGAGACAAATTTATTATTTTCTATGAACACACACCTAAGTCTGTGGCATCTTAGCCTCGCCTCCTGGAGTGGTGAGCCTTAATGCTCCTCAGGGCGTCGCAACACTGGCAGTGATAGGTCAACACGATCCAAACAAGCAATAATCCTGACTTTGTTGGCTATTTAATGAATGTAAACTGCACAAAAGCGCTACCTGTGAACGACTAAATCTACATGGCTCAGTGCGGAGAAAGGGTTATCGCAACGGGATGCCTGGTTTGATAGCCATCTCAACTTAGATTTCACCACAGAAGTTGAACTCCCTTGTTAATGTGCTCTACCACCATCTCAAGAAGGTTTCGTGGCACTACAATTTGTCTTGATCCATGAAAGCTTCAATTGGTCATCAATTTTAGAATCAGCTCTTCATGAGACTAAAATGACCCACCTCTCCAATGAAAGCCGTTCTGCCCCGAAGATAATCAAAAACAGCAACTTCTAGCTCCTTGGAATTTATCACGAAGTTTTCAAAGGTGACGTTGTGGATCCAAACTGGGTCATTGGTATTGCGAGCAACTCTGGTACAGCGAGGTTCATATTTACTAGAAAAACAACACAACAAACATAACTCATATCCTTAAGCAACACTCCTCATTGTACTTTGATTGAACAGTCTGCTTGGGTTAGTTGTAAACGGACTCTTCATCCTCAAACTTAGTGAAAAAAGCCGTGTTTTGCTTCAACTGAATGAAAACTTTGATAATGTTTCATCCTACAGCTACTTCCATTTATTGATGCGTTTGATACCAATGTCACGTATATGTGACACCTCGGTCCACTTATTCGAGCCCACACGTCACAAATATGTGACATGTGGTCGGCATCAATCTATGCTAACTGCTAGTTGCACCAAACCTTCCCTACAATCTCTAACTATTCTACTTCTCTCTTCATGGGACATTTTTTGTGATAGAGATTTGTAAATAGGTGTCAGGAGAGTTCTCGAGCTTTTAAATCAGTGAGACAGTTTTCGAGACCTTCAGTCCACTCTGACAACTTTGCAAAAGGTACCCCCATCCCTCATATTGGTCCCATTATCATCTACTCCCAGCGACTGTCTGTGCACAGAATAGAGGACAAGCATACTTGGTTTCTGGAAGAATGGTGATCTGGCAGAAGGAACTGCAGAGCCAAGTCTGTGTATTCAATTGTGGGGGAAGGTCACGGGCGGCTAGGACGGAGACAATTAGTGCTTCCTTCTCCTCATCGTATAGGAGTTTGAGCTAATAAAACACAGCAAAGTATCCGTCAGTTCAGCAAGACGACAACAATGGCAGCATGAAGCAAAGTAACAGAAATGAGACCTAGCCTAGTGTGGTCTTCTTCAGTAAGTAGAGGGCAAAAAACAATTTTACTTGCCTGTAAGTGAGGATCGGCATCTCCAGGACCAAAATTATCACCATATTCCTCCTCTTCTTCTTCTTCTTGGAACCTTGCATCTTCACCTATAAGCATTTTTGTAGGGAAGAATTTTATCTTGGATACATGATGGTAAATGGTACATCTGTTCAATATAGATAGCAAAGTAACTGTCCAATATTTCCCTCCTAAAGGTAGAAATAAAGCTAGCTTACCAGGCCTTGATAAAGAAGTTGAATTTGCACCATCAGACTCCTCGCAGTAATCACTAGGTAGACAAAAACTTGGTTTTATAAGAGCTATATTTTAAGGAAACCCAACTAATTTCAAGTGTCAGCCCAGCACAACAGGAGGTTAGACAAGACTCACTCAATGACACGTTGAACGGTGAGCCACACTTCATCTGCATTTCGAGAGAGAGCCAGGATCTCGGAGACCTCTTCTTGATGCAGACCTCGCAAATTGTGTCCATTCCATTCAAGAATCTCATCACCTGTCTGCAATTCGCCCATCACGTCGGCCACAGATCCCTCTTTCACAGAGCTCACAAAGGTTCCCACCATATCTGAGGGAACTCTTTTACCGATCACCAGTTTTAGACCTGGAAATGAAGGACTTTTACTGTTTCACTATACACTAGACTTACGGGGATAGCACATTTCCTCCCTAGTTCCATACGCTACAAGGACACGATTGCTAATAGATTCATGTATCTCATAAAATATGTAGACACACAACGAATGCAGTATGGGGATATGATCACTTCAAAGAACTGCAGAGGACTGAATCGTGAAGACCACGGAAAGCTAGATGGATTATTTATAAGTACAAACTTTACACCACCATGCTTTTTTGGTTGGCAAAATGGGTGGATAAGTAATGGATGGCTGGAGGGATGGAAGAATCGGTGAATAGAAGGCAGAAAGGAAGGGTAGGTGATTATGGACCCCATTAAAGTAGTGCGTAAGATAAAAATGTGGCTCGTGAGTTGATTACGTAAGCGTGACCTACGAATGACACCCTCATACTCTTAACAAACTTTGTAGTACAAAAGTACAAAAATCACTTTTCTCGACATGTCAAGTCAGTCGGCACTCTGAAATGCACACCACATCTTTGTAGCACACATGCAAGGCGTGAAAAACAATGGCCCACTGAGCCTCTTCACCACCACTCGTGTACCCAATTTTCACTACCATTACCAATAGTTTATGCGCCATTCTGCACTACTGTCAAGAATAGAGGACCTTCGTCAACCTCATGCATCTACCTTTCAGTGATTCATCACCATATTTCAACGATTCACTTAAACCACTTAACTCTGGATACCGCGTTCTGGTGTCACCTACTGCACCTCCATACACTCGCAGTCATTTTGGTAGAAAAGTAGCTTCAGAGTACAGCCTTTAGGCTGTGACAAAACATTTTATGCAATGGGGTTCAAAATAAGAGAAATGAGTGGGGATGACAATAAATAGTACCCCTCTAATAAACTAACTCATCCATGTAACGACGTGACAAGCAAGCACTTTACAGTCGGCGGACCGATGCTATACCGAAAGCCACGAAAATTCCTTCTGTCTCTTGATGGATGAATAGATGTAGTGGTGGATGTTTAAAGAAATGGTGAAAGGAGAGATCGACAGGCAGGAAATGATGATAGGTGTCCTAAAACATCCTGGGTTAATAATTATCTTGGAATTGAATCCAACAAAGAATGTAGTAGGTTGATTTAATTCTATTCAGTGCAAAAAATGACGATGATACGTACTAGTCCTTCCTAGTGAAAATATCTCGGCCTCTTTTTGAAACTCCCAAAACATGTTCACTTCTGGTAGGTACAGAAATCTAAACTGAATCATACAGGAGATATGATTACTTATAAATTCTCATTCTAGTCAAGTAGACTGCCAAAAGCATTGAAAGGCTAGGGTTAATGAAGTGGAAAGACAGCCCTTAAAGTGATCAGTTAAATTGAAATTGACCAGGCAAAATATAAAGTTCACACCAGCCAGAAATGGCTTACCAAAGCTGCTGAGTAGTCCAATTTCACCGCTTGCTCTGCACTTTCGAAGGTACACCTGACCGATCAGGCTTTCACCATCTTGAGACGGTGACCAGAATGCCGATCGACCCTTGGGGAGGCAAAAAAATGCAGATGAACTTCCTGTAAAGACTAATTATTTTGCCCAACCATTTTTTGCGTATGAAAACCATAAGGTCTTATTTACATTAGCAGAAGGGCTAAATATGTCCCATGCAGTATTCCTCTAATGGACCATAGTACAAAATGGCCAATTCATTTCATTTATAAACCAAACCAACTCACGGAAGATGGGCGGTCAACTTCAATACTACGTTGATACATTCTGCTTTCGGTTGTAAACGATTTACGATAGTCTCCTACAATTTTTGAAAAGAACTATTAAATACAAGGACAAGATTTAATGTCTTGTATTTGGACATTGTTTTACTGAACCATTCATTAATTGCTTGAGGTCATGGCAGAAAGCGAAAAATGGAATAACAAGTCGGTCTAAGCATCCTAAACACCTATGGAAAGATAAGAAGAAAACATCTGGAAAAAATTACTGGAACTTATTATAAAGAATTTACTAAAGCAAGAACAGTGAAGGACAAATTGGGCCAAACCTTGTATTACCCGAATAATCATAATCATATTACTCCCGTTAGTATACCCATCTGAAGATCGTAAAACTTTGCTTTTTAATAACTAGTTTGTAAGTCATATAGATGTCCTAATTTTTTACCAAAGTCCAACAACACAACAATTTGACCGGTGGAATTTATCAGTTGGGAATAACCGATCCCACTTAACGACATGTTGCAAATTGATTAGGGGAGTTGAAAACAATAAGGTGGATGTAGGTTGCTCTTTGCCAGGAGGTAACTACACTCTTCGGCTATGGCCTTGATGCCAAAATGGTCACCTTGGTTGTACAGGAGTTGGTATCATCTTAAAACAAAACCACTGAATGTCTGTGGTGGATAACTTTCCTTTGAAGAAACTCCTAATAGCAAAGGTTTTAAAAATAAAATAACACGCCTGAACGAACAGAGTTATCCATCACATCTTAAAGGCTGTGCTGCATAACTTTAAATATGATGGTGAAATTAGGTTGAGACATTTGATGCAGTGACGGTGGTACGTATTCGTGTCGTCAAAATAATCAAACACAGCTCAGAGATATCCTGCTTTCAAGAAGGGTAAAATTCTGACACATCAACCAATCAGAATCACTTGGTTTAAGCTTTTCATCACCTCGCGAATAGGCCTCGGACTTGCAGGGTTCCGACACCGATCCCGGATCCATCTGCCCTCCACCACTCCTCCGTAAATATCCTGCACGAAAACCACCATGAGGTGAGTCTTCAGTAGAACCGCACGAGGTGGTGCTGACCCCTCCGCCTTCTACCCCGCCACCTTCCATTGACCTAAAAGTGTGCCGTTCAGACCGCAAAGGAGGTGGCATAACGGGTCGGATCCATGCAGCCTCCCCAAAGGGTCGTCTATAAGCTCGATCCACCGGGGGTCCAGTGGAGTGTCGAAAATGGGGTGCGTTGTAGGGATGCTGGGCGGTGGCCGTAGCGGCAGCGGGATAGTGTGAGGAGTGTTGTTGCAGATAACGTGGTGGGATAGAGGAATAAGATTGTTGGCGCTGAGGGTGTTGCTGTTTATGAGGATGGGAGTGGGGTGGAACTGGAGGGTGTTGGTAGTAGTTTTTGGGTGACTGATGGCTGTGAAGAAGGTAAGTATGAGAGCTGGGCGTAGGCTGGTAGTGTGACCACACACGGTCCTCCTCGCTTAGTGAACGGTTACTGGGTAAAAGAAAGAATAAAGCACATAATAGTTGCTTGATATTTGATACAGGCTTAGTACCAACTGCCCGCCTATAACGGTGCCTCTTTTGTAAGTTACCTTCTCCACTTCTCAAGAGGAAACTTAAAATTTAGGCCACCTTGTCAGCTGTCTTAAAACACGCCTTCTACTAACGTCTTATCGTTTAGATGACTACCGCACCTCCGTGAGCCAAGAAGAAGACTTTAACAGCGGTGTAGTATAGAGATGGGGAGCCTAGTGGCCCAGCAGCAAGATATTTGAAAAGTGTCAGTGGTTATCCCAGCCCACGACAGGGATTCGTACCTATGAATATTCAACTATCTTGCATAATCCCTTATCTTCGTACAGCCAAAAAATTGTGAGGCAAAATTATGCACAAAGCAGACGAATCTGCCTGTGGAGTGAACGGTGAATACCTCAATTATTTGCGAATAGGAATGTCTGAAATTTCAAAATTGGCGAACATCAAATGCCCTGCATTGGTGCCACCGTACTGGTAGAACTGTCTATTCCGCAGTTGTCTTACAAATACAAGTCAAGCACTACAGTGCGTACATAAGTTTACCAAATGGCACACTTTCAACTCCTTGAAATTTATTCCTTCCCCATCTTTGACAATCTCAAAGGTTCCATTCTGACTTGAAAACCGATTGCGATAAAACTCCATTAAACTTAACGGGACTTACAAAATCATCTCATACCGTCTGCCTAGCAATTCTTACGAGACAGATCATGTTCCGGTGACGGAAATTAAACAGACTGAAAGGTCTCACTCTTTCATTGCCTCCCGCAATCGTGTTTGGCTGGCTACGCCTGCATAGCTGCTTAGACTGCGTTCCACAGGCGCCACATTGGAGGCCGAGAGGGAGGAGGAGGTAGAGGCGGTGGCGGGAGTGGAAGTTGGGGGAATTTTGGGAATCATCCGGGGATTGAGGGTAGACTCAGTGGTATTTAGAGGCGAGGAGAAGGACTCCCTTCTGTAGGAAGTGAGTCCCGAAGGGAGCGGAGTTTTGGCATCCTTGGCTACGTGAGTCATCGCAGAAGGAGATGATAAATTACTGAAACAATTTTTGCACATCCACGAGGACTGGAGGGCAAAGAGAGAGGATAGACATTGGACTACTTTATCTGGTAGGTTCTAAAACACTAATTCAATGCAAGCTCTCCTGTTCAATTTCTGTCCATAACTTCCAGCAGGAGTATTTAACCAACAGGTTTATGCAGCATGGTACAGTATGCAGGAAATAGGTTATCCACATCCAATTCAGTTGAGATCGCCTATACGACTGACCCACTTCCAAGCTTAATACCACGTGCCTGAGTTAAAATGTTTGAGCTTTTGGCCATAACTTCACTATACACTTATTAATTCCCAAGCCCATTGGTACTTAAACAAATCCGACCCTCCATAAGTAAAGAGCTCCCCTCCTCTACCTGAGTACCAAACCATCCGCCGCAGCGAACGCAGGTCTTGAGGTTGCATTGAACACAATTGTGACCTGCATTTCCTGTGAACTTGGTGACATGGCATATCTCACAGACGTCTCCAAAGTTGCCACTACCACCTCCAGTTCTAGTGAAAAAGTTAGACACCGCGCCGAAGAGATCCCCGGAGGTGCGATTGTGATGGACGGAGGGTAAGGGCCTCTCAGCACAGAGGCCTCGTCGTGTGACTCCCCCAAAGAATTCGTCCTTGGCTCGGGCAACGGGGCCACCGATGCTATTGGCCAGTTGAGCATTGGAAGCGGAAGCTGTGTTGGTAGTGGAGGTGGAAGAGGAGGAGGGGGATGCATCGGTTAGGGCTGGAAGGCGTTGGAATACTTTGGAGCCCCGATGGACGACTTGACAAATGGGTATGGAGAGGAGGGCTTGGGAACTGGGAAAATAATCATGTAAAGCGGTTAAACAGCTTTCCATCTAGGCAAACAATGCTGCGGTTATTTAAATTTAAGGGAGTTAACAAATTCCCCACTTAGTCATCTTCAAGGTTTATGCACTTATCGCATTGCTTCGTCACAGAAAGAATTGTTAGTATGACTGGATCACCTGGAGATTTCCGGGCATCGAACGTGCGTGGGCTACGTTTTGGGAATCGTAGGTCATCGTTTTTGTCAATGACTGTATTGTTTTCCTCGTCTACCTTATAGAAGAATTCGTACAAATCTTTCACAATTTCGTCAGTCAACAGCTTGGTTATACACTAGTTGTCCAAGCCTTCCACACACTGACTAAACATTTGTTCACAGGAATGATTGTCGAGGCTGTAGGCCGGGAACGCACCGACGTATGACCATTTTTAAGGCCTTTACATTACCAAAAAAGATGTCTTTTTGCTGGAAAGATTAGAGCAAAGGACCGAAAATTACTTGAAGCCTTCTGTAGAAGTAAATATCCCAGTTTTACAACTTCGATCTTGTCGACGAGATGTTTCATTATTCACCAAGTAATATCCTATGAAAGCAGTCTACCACAATAGCCTTGAAAGAAGAAAGTAATGCCTTCCTTCTAATGCCTACGGCACTACACTAACCCGGTGTTGATATGGTGGTTAACAAATTGCACCGTCCGTTCAAACATGGCAAAAAAAACAAAAATTCCATTATATTCATCTTTGATAAGGTATGTTTAGGGAAAGAATACATTTCAACGATTCAAACATAAAAATAACCTAATTCTCTTTGGATGGCTAAAGCCCAAAAAAACCTATTACAATAAAGTAGAATTAAAAAGAAATCCTAACAAATCACTGATAGAAAAGAAGGAGTAAAGGAGGTCTCTGAACCAATCAGATTTGTTCTCCCTCGAAAGCGGCACCCGTTATATCGGCTTGGTTTTGTTGAACAAGAAAGTCTACTAATCTGGACTCTTATTTAAAATACAGTTCATAAATAAGATGGTGCATTACTTTTTGAGCTCCCAGGAAGTTTAAATGTCCAAAAAATGGAATCAATCGCTACCGGCGTCACATATGTGTGACGCATGCTCTTCATTGGTTAGTTTATTAACACACTGAACAAAACAGAAGTAGAATAGTTTAGAATAGTTTCTAATTGAACAGCATAGCTTTAAATGGAAGAAATATTTGCTTTGAGCTATAGTTGTTCATTTCCTCCTAACACTCAGGTAACAAGCCTATTAAAAATTTTAAATCGCACATCCATCATCAAAAGAAGTAGCAAAGTGGATACTTAAAGCAGAGCCTTGTTGGTCCTCTTGGTCACGACGTGGCCACCTTCTGATTATAAAGTTTATCCCACAGTCCTAGCTTAATGGAGTGCCGAAAGTGTGTAAAGATGGATTAATAAATGCAATTCAGAGCGTACAGGTCATTTAGGGACTCTGTGAGTCCCCTATCCCCCTTCGGACGTACACACCTCCCCGCATCGGACACACGCCGGCCTACCAGCATTCATATACATGACGGCACACACATATATAGGGCCAGATAGGAGGCAGCGGCGTCAGCGAACGCGAGAGAGCAAGAGCCGAGAGGGGATACGTGACGCAAACGGGGAAAGTAAATCAGTGAAAGTGTCGCGCGTACACAGAGTCGTGCAAGTGCAAGTGTTAGCGCTATAGGAAGCGAGAGAGAGGCCGAGAGCGACCCCGCACCAGCAGCAACAGTGGCAGCAGCCAATAGGAGGGCGCAGTTTGATGGCATGTGGCATACACCCCCTCGTGCTCATCCCTGCATCGATCGATAGCGGTCGTATGTGCACGCGTGTGCGAACGTGTGTGCCTGCGTGCACGTGCGCACGTACGCGTGCTTGCGTTCACAATCTGCATGCATGCTTGACCGGTGAACAGGAGGGTTAACTAAATCGGCGTTAGTTCTCTAGCTAACGTCATTGTCTAATAGCGCAAAAATTGGAGGAAGTTAAATGAGATTTACTATTAATTTCATAGTTTCGCCTAGTTTAAGTTTATCTCTGGATCCTAGGGAGTTTGGACACCTTTGCTCTAATAATTTTGTCTTGGCTTTGCTTATCTACCAATCAGTAGGCAGTTTGAAGGTTATTTCACATTTTTAGCCAATGATAGCGCGGGGATTGTGGAAGGCTCTTATTCTGCTAATTTATGCCTAGAAGTTTCAATATTTTTCAAAGCTAAGTAAAGATTTTAAAGCGCCTTTAAAACAAAACAACCCCTACGTTTTTAAAGGACATTCCTCCAAACTAACATGTGATTACGATTTCATATCCAACCAACGGACTGATTAACTACCAGGTTCGAATAAGTCTTAACAAGAAAAAAAAACGATAATTCCAGAGTAGAAATTTCAGCACAATTTTTAATACAACTTGAAATTTGATTAGCAGATAGCAATGGGAGTGGGAAATTTAGACTGCTTGTGCACCAAACACAGATGACTTCAAAATAACCGTCGGTAAGAAAAATTGGCGTGTTTCATCAATTTCTATCCACGGCATGGAAAGACAGTACAAAGCTTTTACATCAATCTACCAGCCTTTCTGATCAATGGCTATTGCCAGGATCTATCTTAGAGCAAATTCGGTCAACGTAAACTATAAGATGCCATACTCTTACTAATGTGTTACGGTTAATAAAACGAAAGTGTAATTATCCGCTGACAGGGGCCACCTCACTTATATTTTTGCTATTTCAAACTCAATCAATCTGTTCGAATAGCACAACAGGACTAAATTTTTGGCTTTCGTCATTTGATAAAGGCCACAAGTCAAGAACCAAAACATTTATACCAAATTATTTTAGAAGAGGAATTTTCTTCATTGGATGAGGAATGTGAGGATGCCGCATCTAATTTCCACCAAAACCCCCTATTTATTGCAGAATTTTGAGTGATTCGATACTTTTTTCTCCGGAGGTTGTGCTTCCCGTTGGTAACATGGCTTGAAGGCCTTGCTGATAGCCT